ACGAAAAGCTCTCGAGAAGGCTCTCTTTTCATTTATATTTTTGTTTAATACTACTTTTACATGCAATGCACCACGTCATAATTTTTTTGGATAGATGTCACACTCAGCGCAATGGAAAATTCGTTACTAAAAGTTATAATTTGAAGACGCCATGTGTAATGTATAAATGATTTGTATATTTCGGATTTACATATGCATGGTTTCAGTTTTTCCGTAATCTTTTCTCATAAACACCATTATAAAATAGTACTATGTAATACACTTGCAAATTTTATTTTATTTAAATTTATCAAATAATTTTATTTATACTAATAATAAAGATTTGGTAAATTAATTTGTGTTGTAATATATATTCCTTCTGTATCTTTCTGTTTTTTTTTGGATTTAAAAATAGATACTTTAAGATTTATATGTAATATTTAGTTATTATTGATGAATTGTAAATTTTAAGAAAAATATTGGAATACTTTGGTTTTGAGCTATAAAAAATTATAAACCACACAAAATTATATATTTATATTCAATTTTTAAAATGTTTTTAATATATGTGAAAATCTTAGAAAATATATTAATAAGTAACAGAAAGAGTATATTTCATAGTCAGGTAAAATGTGTAAACAATTTATTTAAATAAAATAAGAAAAAATAATTTAGAAAAGTGTCAACAATGTCTAATTTAGAAAAGTGCCATTCAAAAAACTTAGTTTAGGAAAATATCAACACTATTTTACTGTAAACATGAATTAATTTATTAAATATATTTTTTGTTATACACAAAAACTATTTATAAAATTACGTATAATAAAATTCGTTTGTGCGTGTATTCCACGTTTTGTTTTAGAATTCTAAACAAACGTTTAGTTGCACAATTCATCATTGGTCAATTTTATTGGTATAAGTGAAAAAATAGATGGTGATGAATGGTATAGTAGAAAACATAGTATTTATAGTAGAGAATTTTGTTATTTTTCAGGTCATATAATAATATAAGATTTATTTTCAAACTAAATATTTATTTTTAAAAAATCAAATAATTTAATTAGTAAAATTTTGAAATAGTGTAGAAATTTTAATGAAACAACTTCAAATATAGGCCGATCCATTTAATTAAAACCCTAGCGAGTAGCGACCCACGTTGATACTTGAATCATGATGTTGGAGGATTTCATTAAGTGATTTGTTGCTGTTTAGAGAATGCTCATTGTTAAATTTAGGTTGGTTATCTACAGTGGCGGAGCCAGAAATTTTGTTTACCGGGGTCATTTATAATTTTTTTAAATTATATATATATATATATATATATTAATATTAAATAATAGTATGTTTAAATGATAAAATGTTGCTTAAATGATCTAGAGAATAGTTAAATTTCTTTACGCAAAAAGAAAATAAATGTTCTTTTAATATAATTTATATACAGTATTTAAAATGCTTCATTTTTAAAATAAAAGATACCCGTAGTTTCACTACTAAAATCTAAACATATAACCACGGCCTAGCCACGACATGTCCGTGGCTAAATATAAGTAGCCACGAAAAACCCACGAAATAGCCACAAATTACTTTTAAAAACTTCCGATGTTAATTCGTGGTAAATCTGTGGCATAATGCCACGAAAAAGCCACAGATATAATCGTGGCAATATAGCTACGGAGTTAGCCACAGAATATCCGTGGTAAATAGCCACGACAGAAATACGTGGTAACTTCGTGGCTATGTTTCCTACGAACATGTCTGTAGCAAAACCGTGGCTATTTCGAATATATTCGTTTCCAAAAACTTACAATAATGTGATGTGAATTTTGACATAAAGCTGAACAAATATCAATCAATCTTATTTTGTCTGTCGAATTTTGACAGAAAGATGAACGAATATAATCGTTCCAACAAAAACAATTATTGGTTGATATTTTTTGCCAATTAGCGACGGATCAGCCACGGATATTACCGTGGGTAGATAAGATATTTGTAAACAGCCACGATTTGTGTTGTGGCTAAGTCGTGGGTAAAGCGTATTATAAATACCAACAAACTTCCGATCATTTCATTATCTCTTCTCTTTCTATTGTTTCTAAAGCGAAGCAACGAATCTTACTTTGCTAAAAAAAAAACTGATTTCTAAACTTTTTCAGTTGAGCGATTAAAAATCTTTGTTTACAATCCAAAAATGTCTAATTATTTTGAGTCTAGAGAGTGGATGGATCGACATATAGATCCAGCAAATAATCGTGTATCAGAAGAGTTTAGAGAAGGGGTTGAAATATTTATTCGATTTGCGTGTAATCAACAGTCTTACATGGAGCAAGGAAATCTACGGTGTCCATGTTCCCGGTGTAGAAACATAAAACGGCGTGATGCACAAACTGTTTCCAAGCATCTATATCGCAATGGATTCAAGGGAAATTATTATGTTTGGACGAGCCATGGAGAAAATTGTTATGATGTGGGTGAAACATCGGCGCCTAGGGAAAATTATTTTCCTGCTGAAGAAGAAAATTAAAATGCTTCATGTTTTTCTCAAACACTAAAACCTTATCATTGTCCAGATAAATAAGCCAAAAAAAGGACGTATATACGGAATGGGCAGCGCTCAAGATAAGGATGTCGGCCCTAACGAGACTTCCCATGCTTCTCTTGCCCGAAATCTTGACACAGAAATGCGGCTATCAAGCTTGGAGACTACTCTTGCAGCAGTTAAGGATGATATGGCAATGCTCAAGAATGATGTGCTGATGCTCAAGGTTGACTTGCACAAGGTCGGCGATTGCGCAGCGGCGATGCAAGCTTCTCAAAATGTGATTCTAAGGAGTTTAGGTATTGATCCCCTAACTCACCAACCGATCAGACCCACCACAACTCCTGCCACGGTTAGTCACTCAGTCCCTTCTCCGTCTCCCCTACAACCTCATGACAATGACCAAGACTGATATGATTAATGTTACTCATGTCCATGGCAACACATGACTTCTGCTTTTGTTCTACATCTCTGTTTTTTGGTGTGTTGTGTATAAAGAACATGACTTATGTGTATTTCATTTTGTATTTTGTTATGTCGCTGCCTAAGCAGTGGCGGAGCCAGAAAATTTTATTACGGGGGTCATATAATAATAAAATTATATAGTAATTAATAATCATTTATTTTGTACAATATATTGTTAAAATTAAATTTTATTACTTTAGGTACTAGTTTTGGCTTTTAAATATTAATAAAGCATAACTGAGAATAACATCATGTATTATTGTCACAAACCTCATAACATATATATGATTTTACATAAAAATAGAAAATAATTGAAGAAATATTTAAATCTTTGTATGAGATATGAGTACTGGAGTCTCAATAACTATTTCCTATTTTTATTTTTTATACAAAAGGTATGAAATATAAATATTTTTGTTCCTCAAGATCGATGTATAAGAATGAAAAAAACAAAAATTAATATGTAAGACAAATAAAAATTATGTATTAAAACTTAAAAAGACTAAAGAGACACATAAATTAGAACAATTAAATAAAGAAAAATTGTAAGAGGGGTCAAAAGGAGTAGTTTAACGTGAGCCATAGGGGTCAATTGAGAAGAATCAAGCCAAAATAAGCCGTTATGTACCATTTAAATAAGCATGCAAACAAGAATTCTTAAATTTCATGGGGGTCAACTGACCCCCTTGGTTATGAGTTAGCTCCGCCCCTGTGCCTAAGAACATGACTTATGTCTTTTTGTAAACAACAAATATTTAGATTATATTTATGTTTGATTTAAGTTTTAATTTGTTGTTTATTTCCAAATTGAGCTTAAAGTGATTTTTATTTCAAAATTGAGCTTAATAAAAATAACCCACGGATAACCACAAAGAAATTAGTGGTTTGTTTTTAACAAGTACCACGGAAAAGCCACGACAATGGTCGTAGTTAGTTTACTAATTAGCTACGGAAAGCCACGACATATTTGTGGCTACAATAACCACGGAAAGCCACGACATATTTGTGGCCAATATAACCACGGAACGCCACGACAGTTTTGTGGCTAATATAACCACGGAAAAGCCACGACAGTTTTGTGGCTAATATAACCACGGAAAAGCCACGACGTGTTTGTGGCTATTTACCCACAAGATATGTTGTGACATTTTCGTGGTTAAATAGTCACGAATACATTCGTGGTAAATCGTAGCTAACCTTGCCACGAAAAACCACGGAAAATTCTCAGCCACGACGCTATACCCACGGATTTTGTCCGTAGCAATTCGTGGGTAGGAAGCCTTATAGCCACGGATTCTAGGTTACAGCCACGATAATTGCCGTGGCTATACCGTTTTTTTTTAGTAGTGTTTACTTTTTTTCTTGTATTAAGTACTTTTTATTCTCAAAATTAAATGGTATGTAGATATATTAGTTGTTGTGTTTATCTTGATTTATGACTTTTTAAGGAAATATATGCTAACAATTTAAAGATTTATAGCTATTTCTAAGGATTTTGATTTTAAAAAGCTATTTCTAAGGAAAACAAAAAACAAAAATAGAAAGAGAATTCATGGTAAATGAAATAATAAAGATGTATGGGGTCAAATAAAGAAATCAGTTCCATGGCATAGGGGTCATAATATAAACTCTATATAAAAATATCCAGAAATCATTAGAAAACTTACCTTATAAAATAAAAATTACAAATGTTATGGGGGTCAGCTGACCCCCCTCCCACTACACTGCCTCCGCCCCTGGTTATCTAGTTCTAGAACCCAATATATTTCATGCACCAAAAATGTTTGATGAGATGTCTAAATCAATTTTTATAGAGTAAAATTAACCTTGTCAGTGAGAATTAAAGTTATGAGACTTTATGATTTTAGCGAACCCATTACTATTGCTCACTACTCACTTATTTACAAATGAAGATATAGTAAATCTAAGTTATTAGTGAAGGTGGTCAAAACCTTTGGAGAAGTTAATCTCATTTTAGTGATACGGGCTCTACGAAACCCATTTGTTTATCCAAATTTTTTTTTTTTTTTACAATTTTTTGATTTGTGCATGTCATATTTGCGCATAGACCATGCTAATCTTCTCTGTATCATTTCAATTTTATCGGATGTCCCCGAAAGGACTTAGTTTTTTTTTGCATTGCTTTTTTTCTTTTTACCTTGTTAGTAATTTCTACTTGTTTAACTTTAGAAACGAATAGAAAACCAAATCTCCTTTTGTCTTGGCTTAACTCTACTCTATCATCTCTAGATGTAACAATTTGTTTTTATGAATTCTGCATTCATAAATCATAATCATGAGAAAGAACATCAAACAAAGAATCAGATCACGATCTAATAGGTCATATATGTATCTAGATTTTTTTCATAAAAAAGAAAGATTTGTTTCTAGAATTTTATCCTTTCTTCAAGAATTTACCCCTTTCCCATTTCATGCAATTGCCGACTCAGAGGATTGAGAGGGTACATTGACTGATTGACATAAGGGAAAACTTATTTAAATCCATTCAAATCAATTCTGATAGTAACTATATCACCATTAGAACGTTGAACACTCTTTGATCGCTTTGGAGTTTTAGAGACATCAAACAAAAACATGCACTCTATACGAAGTTTTTGTTCTGTGAATTAAGACGGAGCAAACACAATTTCCACAACACTAGTTAACTTTTTTAATCCGCGATATAAGTTAAGACGCCATCTTTGTGTATAGTATACAATTTAGGCTGTAAAATAGTATTTGCGGACAAAAGTCTTCTCTTAATTATTCCACTGATCTCTTAAAAGAAACACTAAAATACTAAAAAATATATTTAATCCATAAATGCCTTTGAGTCTAAATTACATGGTCTTTTCGTATTCCTCATGGAAAAATGAGACAGCGTGCTTTAAGACCATAGGAAACTGAAGCAGCGTGTTTATTAAGGCAACAACTGAATAGTCTACTTTTCTCTTTTCACACACTCACGTCAATTCAGTTCCATTATATAAATATCTTCCCATTACATGTTACAAACAACAATATATTTGACAACATGGCTTCTGGACATCGTCAACAAAGCAAGTTAGATGCCAAATTCAAAGCTATGTTTGAAACCGAAGACGAGAAGTTCCAGAAGCATCTAGATTGCTTAAAGCCTCTAAGCGAGAACCAGGTACAAGTTGACAGCTTTACTCTATCCGATTTGAACAGTATCTTTTTAACTGCATGCCAAATGGTTAAACATGTCCAAGTCCTCACCAAAATTCCTTACAAAGATGTACGCGATAGCGTGTTAGCCAAGGCAAACTCATTAGGGATTTGTCCTCTAAGTCACGAGATGAATCTTCGTCACATCTACGACGTTTGTCAATGGATGAAAACCAAAGCCGGTATTGAAGCAGTTGTGGAGGTGCAACGTAGCGAGAAGCTAAAGAGGCGAGCTACAGCAAAAGGGAGGACGGTTGCTGAATCGGCTATGATCAGAGCGTTTAACGCTCAGTTTGCTGAGTATAGCTCTGAGCTAAAGAGAGCTCGTGCGGCTTTGGAGAAAGAGAGTGATACTGGTGTTCGTATCCGAGACAAGTACTGGCCAGTTTCTGCATTCGATGTAGCCATTAATGTTTTGCATGAAGAGGCAGTTCTTGATTTTTGTAGGAAAGTGGAAGTGAAATGTGGTTTATACAAGTATGTTGAAGGATTGATTGAACGTAAGACAATATGTTTTGCTTTACGTGAAGCCGATAATCTTCGGGCTGTTCTCAAGGAAATGGAAAGTTTTGAAGTTCTAGTTTCGTCCATGGATGGAAATTGTCTTGTTGGTGATAAAAGGAAAGATATTGGATCAGTGCTTGGTCATGGTGGAGAATCATCGTCTAAGAGGGAGAGACGTCTTACTTGTACGAAGAAAGATATTGGACCGGTGCTTGGTCATGGTAGATAAACATCCTCAAAGAGGAAGAGGCGTCTTACTCGTAACTCGTAAGAAGTAGATTTGACTCATTAATGGGATTATGTGAAAATGTGATACAGATCGAGATTATAAAATATGCTTCTTCTTTTTTTTTCTTTAGTCTCTTTTTTGTAACATTTTTTCTATTTGTTGTACGGGTCACTATTAAAGTTTAATCTACTGTTTAATACAAAAATTAAAATGTGTTTCTAAACGCTCAAACTGGAAGGTCACAACTTGATCGGATCATGTTGATCAAGTTTTGAAATTTCATTTTATATATTAGGATGCTAAAAATATATACTATGATGTAGTGCCTTAAAAAATATAATGATTTGAAAAATTAAACCTTTTAATATAACCAATTTTTTTAATACAAATATTTTGAATAGAACCAGTGTGTTTATTTTCTCATAATCTTAAGTTGAGAATTAAGAATAACCTATGAGATAGTGGATAGTCTCAAAATTACCTGTTATCCATACTTTGATGGTTGATTTGTCCATTGAAAATAAACAATTTTTAATTTAATAATTAATGTTGAGTCTAAAAATTATTCTCTGAGAAATACAAAACATAGAAATTTTAAGTGTGATATTAACTGGATTTTCAGAAGAAAAAAAAAACGATTATATATCATTAGAGAATTCCCTATTTTTTTGTTTTTTGTACTAAATATTAACTTTCTTTTTCTCTCAAAAAGAATATTTTTTGTAATTTTAGATATGTTTAGTTTCCGATTTTCTCGTTAATATTTACTAAAGATTCACTAGTACTAAAGATTTACTTTTATGACTATATCTAACAATGAAAGATATTGGATCGGTGATTGGTCATGGTAGAGAAACATCGTCTAAGAGGAAGGGACGTCTTACTCGTAACTCGTAAGAAGTAAATTTGACTCATTAATGGGAATATGTGAAAATGTAATACTGATCGAGATTATAAATGCTCTTTTTATTTTCTTTTGTTTCTTTAGTCTCTTTTTTTGTAACGGTTTTTCTATTTGTTGTACGGGTCATTTTTAAAGTTTAATCTACTGTTTAAAACAAAAATTAAATATGTTTTTCTAAACGCTCAAACTGGAAGGTCTCAACTTGATCGGATCATGTTGATCAAGTTTTGAAATTTCAGTTTATATATTAAGATGCTAAATATATATATACTATGATGTAGGGAAAATGGGTTCAAAAAACCCTCAACTTTCTTAAAAACATGTAAAAACTCTCAACTTTTATTTGTGGGTTTTAAAACCCTCACCTTTTCATAAGTGGTAAAATAAACCCTAATATTAATAAACTCAACTTATTTTTTTATTAAATCGTCATATTAAAACAATAAGAAACAAAAACAATTTAATTTATGATTTTTTTCAAATTCGAGTTTGCAATTTTTCTTTCTAAAATTAAGGTTTTTGCGCTATAAAAACTCATTCACAATTTAGTTGAGATTAGGCAAATCATTTTTTTACCATTAGAAGTTATGTTATATAAACTACAAAAATTTATAGGATAGCACATTTGATTTGTTTCTGTTCTAGTTTTCAGGTTTTGGATTAAAATATAGTTAAATAATTATTAACTATATGTAATTTATATTATTTTTTAATGTATTGTAATATGTATATAGAAATATTAACTGTTAGTAAATTTTATTTAGTTTGTCCATGAAAATATTTTGATGTAGAAATTCATATACTTTTCTTAGTATTATAAAATTGGCTTGATTTTACGTTAGCAAATTTGTGTGATTGAACCGAATAAACCTTTATTAACATAAATTCATATTCGATTCAATATAAGAATTTATATAGTATTCGTAACAAAATCTGTTTGGTTTCACTTTGATGAATTTTTGTAATACAACCGAATACAATTAATTTTTTTACATCATGACTTTTAAAAAATTTCAATTTAGAAAAAAGATTGTAAACTGGAATTTTAAAAGAAAAATACTAAATCAAATTGTTTATATTTATTATGTTTAATATAACGATTTGCTTGAATTTAAATTGAGTTTATTAATAATAGGGTTTATTTTACCATTTATGAAAAGATGAGGGTTTAAAAACCCATAAAAAATGTGAGAGTTTGTTTTATGTTTTTTTAAAAGGTGAGGGTTTTTCTACCCATTTTTCCTATGATGTAGTGCCTTAAAAATATAATTATTTGAAAAATCAAACCTTTTAATATAATCATTTTTTAACAAATATTTTGAATAGAACAAGTGTGTTTATTTTCTCATAATCTTAAGTTCAGAATTAAGAATAACCTATGGGATTGTGGATAGTCCCAATTTTACGTGTATCTCCGTACTTTGATTTGTCCATTGAAAATAAATAATTTTTAATTTAATAATTAATGTTGAGTTTAAAAATTATTCTCCGAGAAATACAAAACATAGAAACTTTAAGTGTGATATTGACTTGATTTTTAGAAAAGAAAAAAGAAGAAAAAAAACGATATATATCATCAGAAAATTCCCTATTTTCCTGTTTTTTTGTACTAAAGATTAACTTTCTTTTTCTCTCAAAAAAAAAATATTTTTGTAATCTTAGATATGGTTAGTTTCCGATTTACTAAAGATTTACTTTTATCACTATATCTAACAAGGAAATAAATAAAAAATAAAAAGTAAAAACAAAACAATTCTCATTAACTATTAATAACGTCTTCTAAAGCTCACTATTTTTTACACTCTCTCCGCAACACACAAAAATACATAAGGTACGATGATCAATCTTAACTCTGTTTTCTCTTCAATTTTTTCTCCAATGTTTAGGGTTTCAATCTCTATCTCTATCACAAACTCAAAACTATATTTATTTTGTATTTTTTATATTTTTGTTCTAAGATTTTTGGAGTTTAGTCGGAGAGAGAACAATGATCAGTTTCAGAGAAGAGACCATCGATCTCAACTTGATTAAAACAGTTAATATAATCTGTAATGATCCAGACGCTACTGATTCCTCTAGCGACGATGAATCTATCTCCGGCAATAATCCTCGCCGTCCGATCAAACCAAAACCACCAAAACGTTACGTCTCAAAGATCTGTGTCCCCACGCTGATCAAAAGGTACGAGAACGTTTCGAATTCTACAGGGAATAAAGTAGCCGGAAACCGGAAATCGTCGTCCGGTTTCAAAGGCGTACGACGGAGGCCGTGGGGGAAATTTGCGGCGGAGATAAGAA